CACAGATTAATTCATGCCGTTACCCGTCCACCTGTCCCAGGGGACAGGCTTTGTCATCACCATTCACAGGAGATACAATGGTGGCTTGGGGTGTTTTTAAAGAGTGTGCTCAAGACCTCAGAGCTCGTAAGTGACAGGGCTTGGCTTCAAATTCAGGTCTTACCCCAAACCCAGGCTCTCTGGCACCTCCCTGCCCTTCCCCCTTTGTCAGCAGGAGTCTTACTGCTGAAGCAGAGGGTGGTGTCTCAGGGTGCTACACCACCAGGGCTCCCTGGCTGGTTCTTGGTTCAGTCTAATTTAGTATTAGGCTTAAGCGGCAGGCTAAACAAGATGCCTCTTAACACGCAGACTGAGAAAGAAGAGAGAGCATCATGGCTTTGCTGAGTAAGTTATGACTTCAATATTCATCTTTCAACTCCCTTTACCCACTGCACAGGGATCTTGTCATGTTTTAAATGGGTCATTTGAAATGTCTTGCTAGTGGTTCTGACTTCATACAAGCTTTAGTCAGTATCTCAAATCCCAATATAGTTAGGATGATGTGTATTATCAATAAGTATGGTTACAAATTGAAAAACAAATAGTTTTCTTGGTAAATTAAAATTTTTCAGCCTACTAATTGTTGAGTCTAATTAACTAACCTAACCAGCTACCATCGAGTCAGCTCCAACTCATGCAATCTCCGTGAGCGAGCCCAGCTGAGATCAGCCAAGCCTGGCCCAGTTCAGAAGAACAACGCCGCTGAGCACAGCCCAAATTGCCTAACCTAAGAATCACAAACTAAGTCATCAGCTTTTGTTTTAAGCCACTAAGGTTTAGGACAGTTTGTTATGCAGCAAAAGCAAACTGATAGAAAACCCTTGTTTGGGACACTTGTTTGCTCTGTAAGCTTGGGCACATCACATATTTAGTTCCTTTAAACTTCAGTTTCCTCATCTGTAACACAGGGAAAGTAGCAGCTGCTCTGAGCACCAATAGTTATGGTTGGTGTTTAGATGTTTTATATAGCCATTTCACATCTTTAATATTTGAAGTGACCCTGAGAAGTAAGGCTACCATGAAGACCTATTGAGATCATACATGTAAAAGCTCAAACCCAAAGCTCATCTTCAAAATATGAAAGCAGCTAAATTTTAATTATGTCTTTAACGAGGGTATTTGTAAATACCAATATCTGTGGTTTTTGAGAGATCTAAGCAAAGGTGTTATGACATGTGGATTTTGGGAGACGACCCCAACCAGTATTGAGCATTTAGATACCTTACTGTCAGAGCTACACAGGCCAACTTCCTCTCCATTTAATTTACTTTCCCTTAAAACTGACATATTTAATGGAAACAGCAACTGAGAAGAGAGAGGGTAGAAGGTGGTGGAGGAGG